ATCCCCCGGCTCGGTGGGTCCCCGACAGCCCAGGTCAGATCCCAGCAGGTCTGGCTGCTGATCCCAAAAGCCCCACAAGCCCCACAGGGCACCGAGACCCCCCCCTGAGACCCCCGGCCGTGCACCAGCAAACTTTGGCACTACCACAAATCGCTTCCAGCCTGGCTCAGCCCAGTGCTGCGGGACTGGAAACCAGCCCCGGGACTGGGGCCGGGGCAGCAAAAGGGAGCGAGGCAGCGTATGAGCTGCTGTGGCTCTGCCGTGAGCGGCATGCAAGGAGGCATGGCCCCTCTCTGTCCCCACCGGGCTGTCACCCCCCAGGCCCGGCCCATGCTCCCCGGGCCACGGAGGGGACGGGGACATGGGGAGGGACAAATTGAGCACCGCAGGACCCAGCAGGGAAGGAGTCCTCTAAGCGACAGCAGGGGCTGGGACACCAGAGGGAGGGATGCTCCTTGGGGACCACTGTCCCCATCGCCTGTGCCTGCATCCCTCCGTCCTCCCCAGCCCCTGCCCCCAGCCCCGTGGCCACAGGGTCACCCTCCTGCAGAGGTTTGTCACCCAGCCCCAAGCCACCGGGGTGCCCCGGTGGTCCCCTACGGGCAGCAGGATCCAGCCCTGTGTGCTGGTAGGGGGGGAGGTTGCTTATTGCCTATGGCCCCACAGGTTGCTCTTCCCGGGGGTGTTGCATATTAAGACATTATTGCATAAATATATATATATCTCTTATATATATATTGCCCTGGGAGCATGCACGGGCAGGCAGAAGGCTCTGCTGTGCTTCTAGAGGTGCAGCCTTGGCTGCAGCGCTGCAGCCCTGCGAGCAGGGAAACAATCTGGGCAGAGGAGGGTGAGGGGGGACAGACCCCCAGTTCCCCCACCCCGGGGGACCCCCGTTGCTGCCCTGACCTGGAGCGACACGGGTAAAACCACACTGGGTTGTGCCTCAACGCCTCTGGTCAGCACCGGGAGCGGAAGGGAGATGGAGCCTTGCATAGCTGGTGGTGGCCCCGGCTCGGCTGTGGGCGACCAGGCAGGACCCCGCTGGGGAGCTGGACACGTCCTGAGGGCTCGGGGTACGAGGCAAACCCCAGGGACAGCCTGGAGCATCCCCACCGTGGCTGGGGAGCACTCAAAGCCCCAGGAGCTGGAGCGGTTTCACCCCCCGGGAAGGGCAGGAGCATCCCAGGAGCGTGGTCTGGCCATGCCGCAGTGCCACGGGCTCCCACCCCATCCCCAGAGCGGGCACCCGCCGCAGCCGTGCCCCCACAAAGGAGGATTTGGTTCAAGTAACACGGTGAGGGACGCGGCTAGATGGGGCCGGGTGATGGCGCGCTGCTCCCGCGTCCCAGCATCCCATCCCGCCGGCTGCAGGCGGGCAGGATCCGTCCCACTGCCTCCCCGCTCAGTCCATGTTGGTGCTGGCCGACCTGGAGATGTTCAGGGTCTGGGCAGAGACCGAGATGTCTTCGTGGTCCACAGGGCTGTGGTAGTCAGAGGTGATGTCGGGCTCGCAGGGGGGCACCTGCACGGCGGCCAGGCTGAAGGAGTTCGTGGAGCCCTTGCGGAGGCACTGGGAGTAGAGGCCGAGCAGCAGGTCCAGCTTGTGCTCTATGGACTGCACCTGCAAGGGCGGCCAGGGCTGAGCGGGTCCCTCCCCGCAGGGAGGAGACATGTGGGGCCCGGCTCCCCCGTCCCACGGGTCCCACCTCCCCATCCCGCAGGCGCCAAAGGGACGGTGACACTCTCCCTGGGGGCCATCCTCTCCAGCCCTGCCTCTCCACTTTGACCACGCGCCCCATCATGCTGAGCTCATCCACCAGCTCCGTCTCCAGCGCCGGCTTCTCCCCCTTCTCCCGCATCTTCTTGTCCGCGGTGAGGGCCCCCCTGCCCACGATCTGGTCCACGCTGGCAGGGAGGGAAGTGACACAGCCCATCACTCCCAGTAGACCAGAGGGCGTGTGAGACCACAAGGGATGGGGACAGGCTCCCAGGACACGTTCCACCCATTGCAATGGGCCAGCACTGTCCCCAGTGGGCACAGCTAGTGGTGGGAGCCCCAAACCTCCCCCCCCCACACTCCTCTGGGGCATCTCACCGCATCTGCAGGCTTTTTATCCTGCCCAGCATGTCCAGGTGGCCGGCTGAGTACTGCTCGATGACATCCTTGACATCGTAAGGACGCAAGGTCTCCTTGAACTTCCTCTTGGCCACCAAGAACTTCAGGATCCTGCAGGGACACCCGGCTGGCTGCAGGGCACTGGGGAGGACTGGGGCAGCCCGGGGGCTCCAGGCTGGGGGGGTGAGGGGGAGGGGATGTGCAAAGCACCGAGGTCCTGAGCACTGTTCCCATGGGGGGCTGAGCCAGGAGCTGCCCCAGCTCCCTGCCCGGCTCAGCCACCACCATGGGCCGGACTGCCGCTTTCCGGACACGTCTGTTTGTCCCCAGGGACAGAGAGCTGCGGAGGAGGTGGGGACAGGAGCACGGAAGCTGGGGGACGCGTGAGGGGACGGTCTCACCTGACAGCCCGGATGAGGGTCTTCACTGCTGGCATGATGTCCTCGAAGGTCAGGTCGCAGTGGGAGCTCTTCTCCTCACCGCTGTCCTCCGGTGGGCAGTCGGCTATGGGTACGAGAGTGGGGCGGTGGCAGAGACCGAGCGCTGTCCCCACGCGCCCCCAAAACCCCCGCAGTCTCCCGGCGTGACCCCACAGCCAGACCCAAACCCCACCGGTCCCCGGGGCTTACCCTCAACCGGGGTCCGCG